CAAACAAAATCAGTGTCCCATCCAGGAGAAAATAACATCCACAGTGACAGACAACATCATACTTTTATAGTCTTGCTCCAGGGCTATGTTCCAAAGGGAAGCAAGCATCTGGCCATTCCACAGAATGTCACATGGGTCGCTGGTATTGACTTTTCATGTTAGTCAGATCTGATGAGCCAGAAATGCAGGTAATCTGGATGCCTTGATGAGATATACATCCACCAGAGGGTGAATAGACCTCACATTCAGGAGCCTGCTACATTGATGATAATTCTAGGTAAAAATGATCACTTTAAAAGATTTGACATAATTTTAGATGCATAGAAGAAAGGCAAAAAAAAAAAAAAAACAATCAAAAACCCAAAACACACCAAACCCTGAGATTTCCAATATAGCCTTTTTTTAAAATCCAACTTGCCCTTATGCTAGCACCTTTTATAAGACTTGGACATATAGCAAAACAAGGAAAGTAACCTTGGTGCAATGCTATTATTGAAAGTACTCATCCCGACGTAGATAGTGAAATGGTACAATGGGTTTATGACACTTGGGACGTTTTCTCCAAAGTAAAGGCCAACTTACTGCATCTTCTCACCCCCCACCCCCCTCACCATTAAGAGAGAAGAGCAGCAAAACACTTGGTAGATCTTTCCAGGTTGACAAGGACAGTGGCTAGTTTTAAGGGGAGGTTCTGATTCCGAGAGCTTGGCATCCTGCCCGGTCTGTACTACAAGCAACTCCGCTCCTCAGGCCAAAGCCCCTGACACATCATGGTACTACAGGTCCCGGTGGCAGAGGAAGGGGCATGGGACACTTCTAGCAAGTTCCAAAAGAGGAGTCCTAGTACCGTCCTCTGAGGTTCTGGATCACGGAGACAGATCATGTAGGAGACAGATCATGTAGGAGACAGACGCATACCTGTTTGAAAAGCAGCTCCTGGCATATTCCTGAACCCTAACAGAGCCTGAGCACCTGCTCACAGGCACCACTTGACCAGCAACCCAAACTGGCCATCATGAATTGAGTAATATCAGCCCCACCAGCTCATGGGTTTGGCCCAAGCAGCAATCAGGGTTGAGTTTGAGCAAGCTCAGAGGACACATGTAAGTTGCATGAAAAGATGGCTTAGACCTCCATTTCTCCTGCCTTTTCCTTTACCCCTGGTTCGATAGGGTTGGCGTATAGGTACTAGAGGAAAGTAGACTGCTGCTTCATTGCGGAGCTACTCAGAGTAGGAGTGATTTCCTTGTGGGCAGGATTTAGGCCAGTGCTCCTAGTCATCTGTTTTGCATGGCAGATAATTGGGTCAAGAGGAGGGCTGTACATGGACATTTGCAGTGGCAAATGGCTTAGGTAACTGGCCAGTGGGCTAGAAGAAGCAAGCTTGTTAGAATGCAGACAAGAAAGATCAGAGTAGGAACCCAGGTGGAGTGAACACCAATGTTATGAAAGACTTTGTGTGATATGCTAATGATTCCAAAGGTTGGCATCAGAGTTAGGTATAAAAACTGATTGGCACTCAAATCCCTGGCTCTGCCACCCACTGGCCTCGAGATCATAGGCATGGAGCTTACCTTCCTAAGCCTCATACCCACCCATCAGAAGGATATCTTGGAATTAAAAGATGTTCGTGAAGGGCTCAGACTAGACCTAGCATGCTGTGTGTATTTAATACATGCTGAGTAGTTGTTATTATTTTTTTAAAGATTTATTTATTATTTATGCATACAAAACTGGGGTCCAAGCCAGAGGTGCAGGGGTGGTGAGAGGGCTCACCAGAGTGGGGAGCAGAACGAGCACATTGACAAAGTACACTCCTGAGGGGAGCAGCGGGCAGGTCAGGAGAGGTCTGCTGTGCCATGTGGGTCACCTCCAGGCCGGGGATTGAACTCACACTAAAGAAGCTGCGGCTAGCTTGCAGTGCTGCTGTGCTAACATGTTGGGCCACCAGGGAGGGCTGTGTTATTGTTATTTTAAGTAACGTGGTGCTTGAAATCTTAAGGGGTAAGTTATCAGGTAGGAAAACTGAACCGTAGGGAAATGAAATGACTTAACCAAAATTTCAGTGTTAGAAATGAGATTCAAATTCAGGTCTGCTTTGGCTCCCACAGGCATGTACAGTTTCTCTGAAAGCTTGCTATAACGTACAGTTTCTTTTTCCTTTGTAGCAATTCTGATGAGAAAATAATTCTCCCCGTTTTACAAATGAAGGAACTTGAGTATCAGAAAAATGGTATGATTTTTGACTAGTAATCAGAAGAAGGTGGAATTTGAGCTACTTTTTCTGTACTGTTTAACAGTCGTTTTATTTGGGGCAGGAGTGGTGATGGGCTTCATTAAGGGGAAATTCTGTGGGGGGGAATCTAAGAAAGCTACTATTCCATTCCGGCTCTGGGATCATGAACTGTTTCTACCTAATGGACCTCCGTCCCAGTGCAAAGGACCTACTTTATCAATAGTTAATAAATTATTAATAGGGTTATACCCTGAAGTAGAACAAAAGAGTCTTTTGTTCACGATGAACTCTTCGCTTCCTTGGAATTCATCTAACTTGTAAAGTTTTTGATTTCAGTGATGTTTATGATCCAATTGTATTATAAGCTCATGTATTTTTAAGCAACCCATTGAACTTGAGTACAAGAATGATCAGCTTTGGATATTGGCAAATAGGAAATCTCAGAAGTCAGTTATGCTTTATGGGAATCCATTTTTTTTGGTGAGGGGAACCCCTAATGTCCTGATGACCACAGAATACATTTACCTAAATCGCAGCAACATTGTCTTGTGTTTCTGTTTTGTCAGACTCTAGTCAGGGTGCGTTAGTACCATGTTCCTTGCGTTTATCTCACAATTTCCCCCTCTTACCTCTTGCCACTCATTGACGTTGAGATCATGGGCAAGGAGTTACCTTCCTAAGCCTCACCCCCCACTCATCAGAAGGATATCCTGGAATTAAAAGATGATCATGAAGAGCTCACACTGGAACTAGCACTCTGTGCGTATTTAATACGTGCTTCTATTACTTGAATAGAAAATACATGTTTGTTCTTTGTCCCCTGTTCTTGACACAGGACTTATAAATCCCTGCATTTTTTTGAGAGATGAGAAGATAGTAGGGTCTTTCATTATTCATAACAAGCCCCTTTCAACCTGAATTTATGTCAGTGAGTCAACTCTTAGAAGCTGAGGGCTGGTTGCCAGAGGAACCAACTGTGTGATCAGAGGGGCCATGAATACTCAGCATCTTGCAGATTCCTCACCCTCTCATGCATCTCTTCCATTTGGCTGTTTTCTGAGTTACAGCTTTATGATAAACCAGCAACCATAAGTTAAGTGTTTTCCTGAGTTCTGTGAACTGTTCTAGCAAATTAGAATCACAAGAGGGTGGCATGGGGGCCCAGTTTTACACCCAGTTGGTGCAGAAAAGATTAGGAAGCTTAGGCTTGTAACTGTCACCTGTGGGTGGGAGGCAGTCTTGAGTCCTTAACCTGTGTGGTCTGCATTAACTCTGAGCAGTGTCTGGAATGAGTTACATTGAAGGACACCCTGTTGGTGACCACAAAGAACTAGAGAATTGCTGGTGAAGCAAACCCACACATGGGCTGGTTGTCAAAATTATCTTGGGTGAAAAATTGCCAATGCGTTTAGACTCCAGTTTCAATACTTTCAGGTCACACCACTCAACCCCCCAAGGAAGGCTATGACTAGGTGGGAAAAAAAAAAAAAAAAGCCTAGGACAATTCATTCACAGCAGTTCACCTTTATTCAGCATTCACAATATGCAAATACATAGCCTTATAGCCTTAGTTCTCTTCCCAGGCCAGCTAGGGAAGCTACAGAGATGCAGAGATAAACTATTACATAAACCTTACCTTCAGGGTCTTCATAGTTTTTTTTCCCCCAGGTGTCTGACATCAAGAAACTTAAAAGTTGTTGGAGCTAGGGAAGGGAGAATTTAGAGGTCTGTTGGTGGGGAAGGGAGATTGTTGGTTTAACAATCTCATTTTTAAGATAAAAATGAAGACTAAGGTCACAGGACTAGTTAGCAGAGTTGGTTTTAGTACCTTGTCTATCTTCATTTTCTAATTCAATGTTACACATCTTAAATGTACTAAACATTTCTGAACAAAATTAGGTTGTGAAGTTGATTTAGGAACTTTCGATTCCGAGTTTGGGGTAAAATTTTGTTATATTGAAATTATGCATCCCAAACCTAAGATCTTCATTATTACTACACTATGTTATGTAAGTTGTTACTTGCACTATATGTTATGGTTTTTTACATTAAAAAAGAAAATCCCCAACTCCTTGCAGAATAAACGCACCTCAGTGACAGACAAGCTGTAGGTATGATGTGTGATTGTATATTATTTAAAACATTTTTTCTTGTAGTGAATCTTTGTTGAAGGCCAACAGGAGGGAGGCATTGTGTAGGAAATAAAGAGTTTTAACCACAGTTCCCACCAGGAAGGAGTTTAGAGTGTAGTAGGTTAGGGGCAGACACCCGCAGTGAAAGTGATGAATCCCTTTCAAGATTGCAGAACAGTCGCGGCGGCTGTTTGCCTGGGGCTGGAAACTTCGCGAGCAGTTCCAGAACTGCTTCTAGGGGTGACTTGCCCCGTTGACTCATCGCTACTAAATGCAATCCCCCCCAGATTTGATTTCCACTCTGAAACTCCAAGGGTTGGACGGCATACTTTCTGGAGCACAGTGCTCAAAGATTTCCTATTCCTATTGTTTCTCGCTTCTGCATTCCGGGCTCCCCCGTTTCCCCCCCATCCCGGCCCCCCACCCCTGCAGCTGGGCTGACGTGAAGCGAGCTCCGCCCCTTTAAAGGGGCCCCGGAGCTCAGCGTCCCGGGTGCTCCTCCCCCACAGGGGAACCGCGGCGGGCGCCCGGGACCCGGGCATCCCACGCAGCCGGGGACGCCGTGCGTCACGGCGCTCGCAGCCAATCAGGGCGAAGCCTGCCGGGACGCATTACTAGGGCGACGAGCCGGACGCCTCCCCGCTTTGGGATGAATTAGCGGCGGGTTCTTCTCGGAGGTTGCGACCCCTACGGATTCCTCAGCTCGTCCACGCGCCACCCTCGGCGTCGCACGCACGTCGTCTCCTGCGGGTCACAGGTGGGAGCCTGGAACTGTCAAGTGGGGGTCACGGCGCGGGGAAAATGGCGGCGGCGCCCAGGGGATCCCCGAGTTGGCGGAGGATGGGGGGGGGGATTGTGCTGTTGCACAGGTTTTCCCCCTAAGTCGCGGGTCTCCCCCGGTCGCGTCCCAATAACGGCCATTGGGCCGGGAATTAGGATCTCGACCCAGGTGGCGGCTTCTCCGGCTCAGGTGAGAGGAGGCGCGGGGACGCGACTCAGAAGCTGGCGGAGACGTCGGGGCCCGCGGGGCGGCACGGACCGGGTGGGAGAGGGCCAGGCGGTCGCGAGAGAAGAGCCATGTGTCCAGTCACTGTTTATAGAGGAACCCCGAGGCTTTCCTGCTCCATACTCCGGGGGGGGGAGGGAGCTGCTTGAACGCTGTCCCAGCTCTGCTATTGCCTGGTGTGTGTCCCAGGGGGTCAGACACCTACCTGTGGATGCTAGAGTGTCACTGCTGTGCTGGCAAAAGCAGGCCTTAGCCAGGGACTCATTCAAGTCTGATCATTAACATGCATCTTAACTTCAACTTGCCCATTTCAAGAGAATTAAGAGGTCTCCAGGTGCTATGGATATGTGTTGCTTCCTTGCATTGTGGTGGTTGAGGTAGGTGCCCAAAAAAATTGCATCTGTCTTTCAAGCTCATTAACTCTTTTTCATGTGCACGTGGTTGTCAGTAAGAACGGGGATCAGATTCAGTCTAAGCCCAGGGAGATATTGAGGGTAAATTTTGGTGAAGGTCTTACAGTGATAAAATATTGTCACTATGTCAGTTGCTTATTTGTGCTAAAAACATCAAGCCATGAAATGTAAATTGTTGGGGTCGAGTTTTGTTTTTTTTTTTTTTAACGTGAATGAGAGTCCTTTTTTGAAAAGTTATATTTTTAAGAGTAAAAGAAAATCATTTGTTTAAAAACTGTTTTCCTTTTTAAAAACATTTCTATGAACACTTTGTGCTTTGATGTGACAGATAAGCATACAATTAAGTGACTTTGGTAACAGGCTTAATTTTGTCTGCTACTAAGAAAGCACAATAGCTCTTCATGGTTCTTTCTTCAGTAGCTGCTTTTTGGAGTGTTTACCTAGAGTTAGGCACTATGAAAGGCCTCTCCTACCTTTTAACTTGGTAGTTACTTTGCTGATAAATAAGAATAAACAGGGAAAGCCCAAAGAAATCTTGCAAACTGGATTAGTAGAGAGCTGGTTTCTTTGGCCAGGGACTGGGGTTTGATGTGGTGTCTAGTTCCAATTTTGCCACTTAAAGTACCTTGTGAAATCAAACTGTCAGTATCTGAAATGTGCATTGCATTTCTTATCCAGATAAACAACCACATGCACTGTTGTGAAGAGGGAAAAAGATGATGCTATGTAAGAGGGCTTGAAAAAGTTAAAAACAGAAATAACACTTGGCATTTATTACTACAGATTTACTCTGACAGGCACAGTTTTCAATGGCCTTGAATATGCTAACTCAGTTACCCAGGAAGATTGTGAACTGAGAACTTTTCATCATTTAATGGGGGGTGGAGGAACTGGGGCACATTGAAGGTTTTAAGTTATTTGTCCCAAACTACACAACTGGGATGGTAATTACAGCCTCAGTTCCTAACAGCCATACATGCTATGTTCCTGTATCTTGCAGGTGTGCCATATGTTAAGGGAAATATGCAAACAAATTTTCAGTGAAGTAATTTTGTCTGTCATCTTTTACCTGTATAGATTATAACTGTGACTCATTCCATTGGCATTGCATAGTGGTTTATATGTGATGATTACAGTTGATTTGATTAAGTGGCATATTCATTTTAACTTTATGCCCCATTATTTTTTAAAAGGCATTTTAAAACACTTGTGACTAATTTCTAACAGGAAGCACATATCAATTATTAAGGAAGATTTTAGTTTTAATACACTTTTTAAAAGAGTGGTAAGCTGGGTGGCTTTTAAAAGAAAACTTGTGTTAGGTTCATTATTTTGACATCTCGTACTAATTTTCGTAGTCTCTATAGAAAGACGATAACACAAGTAAAAAGTGACTGTGGTGTTCATTCTTTCACTGAACCTTTGATGGAATTGCCCTGCCACGTGTTTGGTATTAATTGATGATCTTATCCTGAGTCCAGTGAGATGCCCCTGGTTTGTCAGAAGCTTGTAGAGCAGTGAATGAGACAAACAAATAAATAATTAACTGACGCAGTGTAATAAGGACTGAAGTATAGTTGCGGCAAGTACATGGAGTTGTATGGATACTTAGAAGGGAACAGTTGCTTCTGCAGGAGTAGTCCTTGCCAAGAAAGGAGAGGAGCTGACTGCAGGCTAAAAAGAGAAATGTCTACTAGCCAAAGAAAGAAGCAGTGCAGTCGGAATGAGAGTACATTAGTGTCCTGGGGCCAGAGTACTGCGGGACTTCCTGGAGAGAAGCCAGGAAAGTTTGGTGCCAAATAGTGAATTCTCATCTAAGAGAGTTGACTGTATCTTGTGGCAGCTGGTTGGACAGAAGGGTCTTAATCATGATTATGAGAAACAGCTTTATGTCCTAGGGAGGTGACTGGTGATGGGGTGAAAGACCATGCAGTTTCCATATTCCAGACGAGAGAGGGTAGGGGTTTGATCCAGGTCCCAGTGCATTGACTGTGACAGAGCAAAGTTCAGAGTCTCCCATACACATTTTGAAAGTGGAGTGAAAGATTAGATCTGAAGAATAATGGAGTGGGGTGGGGGAAGACAGCTGTGGAGTGAAAAGAGTAAGGTGTTCCTTTTAACTAATTGAGGAGCAAGGGTAGAATATGGAGTTCCTTTTTAGGTTTTGGAGAATTGTGAAATCCTGAGCTTTTTGCATCAAAGATGGTATAACAGAAACAAGCTGGTAATTTCCTCTAGGCCCCTGATGTTTCAGACAACAGAAAACTTAATTATATCATCAAAGGACAGTAAGGTCTTGTGTCATGGTCATGCCATTGGAAGAAAGCCATTCAGAAGGAGTGGGAAGACTCATTTAAGTATGGTTGGGTTAAAATGCTACAATAATGGGTATTTTCCACAATTTGGTTTTTAGTATATTTATACAGGAGTCATTATAATATGGAAGTAATCACAACGAAGTTTTCTACTTGCCAAACTGACCACTGCTCAGCATAGCTCTACAGAGCTCCAGCTTCCAAAAACACTGCGAACTACTCCAAACAACTGCAAGGTGCAGTTGCAAAACTTGAAAAGACAGTATTTCATGGGTTTAGAGCAGTCAAGAACTGCTCAAACCATAATTTTCACAAATCAAAGATTGGTGAGTAGGGTAAGGCAGAAGTTTCTTTAAAAAGAACTCTAAAAGCTATGCTTTTGAAAATGTTGGATAAATTTGACTTCACACTTCATTAAAATTGAGAACTTATCTCCAGCTAAAGACACTGTTAAGAGAATGAAGGGCAAAATACAGATTCAGAGGAAATTTGCAATTTGTTTGATCTAGGATTCATACGAGTGTGTGTGTGTATGTAAAGTTAATAAGAAAAAGACAATTTCATAAAAGAAAATGTGCCAAAGTCTTGAACAGGCATTTTCTAATAGTGCATCTCTGAGTGACCAGTGTGTATATTACAAAGGTGCTCAATTAGTCAATGGGAAAATGCAAATTGAAACAATAATGAGATACTGCCACCTTTCAGAATGACTAAAAATTAAAAAAAATTGTACTGGCAAGGATGTATGGTAGCTGAATCTTTATGTTGGTGGGAATGTAAATGTAATTTTGAAAAATTGGTATTCCCAATATACCAGTAATTCTACATCCAAAACAAATGTGTCTATTGAAAAAAAAAAGGTAAGAGTGTTCATAGCACTTTTATTCATAATAACTAAAAGTTGGTTAAAACCCAAATGAACATTAATATTGGAATGAGTGAATAAGTTGTGGCATATTTAGATAAAGAAACACTACAAAAACAAACAAAATAATGAACTTTTGATATACGCATCAACATGGGCAGATCTCAAAGACTAAGCCAGACAAAAGATCGCATACTATTTGATTCTATGGGAAGAAATTCAAAAACAGGTTCTGCCATTTCCTGGTGAATGAAAGAGGAGAGAATAGTGGTTCCTTGGGGGACGTGGTGGCCACAATTGGGAGGGAGCATGAGGGAACCTTCTGGGATACTGGAACTATTTCTTTATCTTGAAATGGATGGTGCATATACTTGTAAAAATTCAATTGCACACCTAAGATTTGTGCATTTTACTTTTTACACCTTAATTGAGAAAGAGGCACGAGTGACAGTTGGCAGTGTTAGATCAGTTAACTTTTGAGGAGGAAAATCAGTAGACACTATGATGAGAAATGAGCTTTAAAAGAAATTAAAGAGTATATGAAAGGCTTGGTGGGGGAGGGGCTGATGAAATATGAAATTTTTTTGTTGCTGTAAAAATAGCTTAATTGTCTTGCAAATGTGAAGTCACAGTTGTCATGTTGTGCCTGCCTTACCATTTGGCTACCAAGCCTTGTTCTTTGCCAGTTGGTTAGTTCATTCTCCTAAGGATTAGTGCAGTTGAAAGTGTAACCTAAATTTTGGTAAATACACAGTATGAGCATAAATTTTTTTTTTTTGAGAAAGGGGACATTCCGATCAAATCTCGGTTTTATCATTATGAAATGTGTTCCTTGTTTTATGAGAAATCGTTTGGTGACTTTTTCCCTTTTATGCTAATCACTTTTGGATACTGAGGACTAGCTGCAGCCCCTTTGGCTACCAGGGTGTGCATATAATCATGGAGCTGAGAAAACCTTTTGTGAGTCCTCTGAAGCAGTGAGGTAAGGCTCAAAAAAGGACTTTGTGCACTTCAGTCTGGTGTGACAGAAAGAGCTTCTCATCTTCATCCTTTCCTCTTCTAGCCCTTAGGCCTGGGGTTCCCTAAGGTGGTGACTGGGAGTGGGGGGCCCGAGGGAAGCCACCAGGGAAAGCTGACAGGAGATGATGATGCATGCAG